TTTCGTTTTTAAAGGACCACTCCTATCAGCATTAGAACTTGTAGAGAACTCATCTGTTACAAAGGTTGTCTCCCCTAGTGGCCGAAATTTGTTTCAGGTAAAAAAAATGCCATCTTATAATGTTATATTTTAGCTAATTAAAATAACAATAACATTGGTAAAATAATATTGTTTTTTTTATTAAAGGATTACTTCACTGAAAGTTATATGAATTGGAAGCAATACTTATATTAATGTCAGTTTCATATAAAATTCCTATAATGAAACGGGATACATTTTGTGATAAATACTTTTAATTTTTTGAAACTACCTGAGCTTTTAGTTTTATTGTGTGAAAAATATGACTCATATTTTATTTAACACAAAAAATAGACTTTTGAATATATATAATTAAAAATTAACAGCTATTTAAACATAGCCTATTAATTTATTTTATTTTAGGTTATTGGAGCGTCCGGGACCCCATATACCTGCTTTCCTAATTTGATATACTGTTCTTGCCCAGCCTACAATTTCTCAGGTTTTTGGAATCATTTTATTGTTAAACCTTGTAAAGCTTATTTTAAATTAATATAATGGAATATTTCAGTTGATGTAAAAGTGAGCATTTTTTACAGTTCCAGAAACACTTTGCTAATATCTAAATTTGTTTTCATGATTTGATTTCATTTTTTCTATTTCAGTGTTAAGGAAAGAAGATTACTTGATGGTAAGTTAGTAAGTTAACATCTGTCCAGTCATATCCATGGGAAAGACTTACTATGGATCATACAAGCTGGCAAGGCAGACTCACTGTTGGAGCATAATCCTCAAAACAACAATGCTCAGTTCACACCATTGTGTGAACTAAGCATAAGGCACTGCTCAGGCCTATAAAAAGCACACAGCAAGGAAAAGCAGAATCAACTCCAATCCATCAGGGGTGGGTAAACTTTGTGTGCGTAGGGCCACATTTACAAATGAAAAGCCATATTTTGCCACATTAGCATTACATTACAAAGGTCAAAGACTGTTTAAAAAAAATAGAAAATTGGAAAGAAATTTTCTTAAAAAGTTTTAAAAATCATGATACATGAAATTTTGTAAAATTCAACAAGATAACTTAAAAACTAAATAATTTTTTTTTTATTTCTAAACGCCCTAGGGGGCGGCATAACATTGGTTTGCCCACCCCTGAACTAGGACACCAAAACATATGAGTCCTACGTGGGGGAAAGCTTTCCATACACAAATAGGAATGGCAAGTCACCTGTGTATACTCCTTTTAATATAGCTTTGGTCATGTTCACATGAGAATTATAACAATACTAAAAAATTCCTCTTAGAAAAAAAATATAGCTGTATTTCCTAAATTTTAAAAAAAATGTGTATGTATTTTCAAAATGAAGTAAACAATTTTTTTACACATTTTTTTTTTGGAGAGGATGGATATTTTAGCTAATTTGGAGTTGTCTCTAATCATGAAGTAGAAGGTGGATGAATTTCCCTCGAATTTAAATGTCATCACATTAATCATTAAATTATTGTGTAATTTTCTTTTATGCCAGTGCAAGCATGTTTTGGCAATCAAACTATCAGAAGCAATGGGTCTGTTGCTTACATTAGATGTACCTGATGCTGAAATTACAAAAATGATTCTTGCCATGGACTAAATGTTGGTTAGAAAATATTATTACACTTAGTGATTCATTTCGATGCATTATTTTCAACTTGTACAGGAATTGTTACCAATGCCATATTAATGTATAAATTTTATTTACTATTGTCTTTGGAGATGAATTTTATTTATATTTATTTATCATATTAAAGCAGTGTTTCCAAAATTCTTTTTGCCTCACATTTAAAAAAAAATTAATTAAAAGGAGATTAAGGTAAACCCATTCATAAAGATGCATGTTGATAGGTTAACTTTAAAAGCTATTTCCCAGAATATAATTGTAACTTGATTTATTTTATAATGCTATACTTAAATATAAATGCTGTACATTACTGTACAAGCACCAATTGCATATGTGTAAAATGATTTTAAATTCACTGCAAACTTTGTCAACTTGAACTTTAAGTTTTTTATCATGATTTTACACTTTATTCATATGCAGCGCCAGGGGCTGAAGTGGACAAAGCGATGTCTCTTGCCAGGAGCTCAAGGAAAACACTGTCCCAATCTCTCACCTAAAACCAATACTACAAGAGACACCAACAGAGACCATCCCTTCCACTAAACAGGAGACAGACAGCTTTACCTGGCTCAAGCACTTCCAAAGAATACTGAAGCACCTTTTTTCAAACATGCTGGATGCTGGACTGAATTCCTCCAAAGTACCAGATAGTGCAGATTAAGCAGTTGGTCCAAATAATTAATTAAATAATAAATCTTCATTATATATTGAAATAAATATCTGTAGTCTTCAATTTTTTTCTGATTGTGGAGAAAAAGGATTTCTTTGAAAACATTCATATTCACTTCAGGTTTGTGAGAAACAATGTATCATTTTTGATACTTCACTTTAACATCAAAATTTGACATTTTTTGGAGGGGTTTATATTACTGGCATGAAGACAAATAATGCAGACCTGTTTACCCTTAAACTCTTAAAATCGTAGATTATCATCACAAAATCGTTCAATACATTATATTTATAGTAAAAAATAAACAGTATATACAATCTATACACTTAAAAATCGTACATTGTATGAGTCAACAGGTCTGATAATTTATTGGTTAGGTTTTTTCAAGCTGGAAGGTCTTTAGTACTTTAGCAGCTAGTTAATACCTAGCTGTTGCTGTAAAATTTATCATTTTGACTCACATTAATAACTTTTGATAACTTCAACTGAAATATTTTCAAATTCTTGAACAGTGATACAAAAAACATTTATAGTGAGGCATTCTTTATTTTATCATAAATATGATACAATACAAAAGATATTACCGAAAGTCTTGGTTTGGTGTTAGTGTTTTTTTTCAAATGAATATGCAAAACAATAGTATTATTAATATTAAGCCCTTCCTGGACATGTTTAACTAAATTCATTAGGATTTTCATATTTATGTAAGTCGCAGTAGTTCATAAAGGACGTCGCCAAATTTGTGTTGGTGGATTGTTCAAATGCGGACAAGGGGAGTAAGGGATTGTTCAGATGGACTGCAAATCAGAATGTTAGCAATATGTTGTTATGTATTTGATTATGTTTACAATTTTTAAATTGGGGTTGTCCTCTATAGCTGTTATACCTGCGAAATAATTATATCAAACAACCAGAAGTTAGTAAAAACTTCATGAGGGAGGTCACTCTAAAATTTGGTTGCTACAGTATTTAACAAGAAATGTAAACAAGTTAAAGATTTTCCCCTTAATCTCAGTTCTGGTTGACTAATCCTATGTTTTATATTATCAGACTGTATTAGAAGTTTAAACCTAATGACTCTGCTCTATATAATTATCAAACTTTCTGGCTTTTTGCATTGTAAAATCCTGTACTGTATACAGACATCCACATCCAGGGGGTTAGAAAAGCCATTTGTGAGAGAGGTGGAAAGATGCATAATTTTTGCTAACATCCTTTTATTCATGAACTACCACTATTAATATATAGATATATTAATCTATATTCACTTAACCATCTTTTGCTGTCAAAGGAGAAATAAATTATGAATTATGTGACTGTTCACTGTTACAAAATAATCATTTTTTAAGCAGGAAAAATTTCATTAGCCACAAGATTTACACAGACCTGTTTACTCTTACGATTTTGGCGTACAATGTACGATTTTGAGCTGTATACAGTATACATTATATATACTGTATGTATAATTTTTTTTACTAAGATAATGTATTGAACTATTTTGTGATGATATTGTACGATTTTAAGAGTTTGAGGGTAAACAGGTCTGTTTACATATTAGGATATAAGAAATAAAACAAAACAGTACAAATATAAATGAATTTTGCTTGGCATAGAAGAATTTACATTATAAATCATTGAATCCTAGCATTTGTCATAATATTCTTTTTGTTGCTTGTGTTTATGCCCAGGTTAACCATACTTTGTGGTTGGTTTAATACTTTGTCCCTGTTTTGATCATAATATTAATAAAAAATAATTCAATGATAGATGTCATATAGATTGCTAGCATTAATAGAACTTGGTTGATATCAAATTTAATGTAATTAAGCTAAAATTCAAAGTGTAAAGACTGTCAAGTTCTAAGTTTTTGATGTGTTTTTGATGAATAAGTATAAGTCCATGTGTGAATTTGTAAAGGCCTCTTAGTACACGAGACCAGGATTTAAATATCTGCCTGCAATTTACTCCCCCCACCCAGGTACCTATGAGAAGATAGAAGTAAGCTAGAATTTACAATTAGTTATCTTTTCTCGACTATAAAAATAAAAGCCATAACTATAACTTATTACATGTGTTCCTTTCCTAAGCTATTTAGCGACCTAAACAAAACTATATAAGAAATATAAAACTATGACTTTTATAATGTAGGTAATAAACATGCACAAAGTGAAGCCCTGCACCAATGTCCCCCATATGGTATGCCACTTATAAGTACTATACCTGATAAGCCTATACAATTAGCAGATGTCATGGCCTGCTTGCCACAGAAAAAAAACAATCACCATCCTTAAGTTTAAGCGTAGGATTGGAGGGCAAATCTTTCCATTTGCTAAGGTATTCATCAATTTTATTCAAAATAGATAAGGGCCGCTTTTCGTATTAATAAAAACTACACAGCCCTGAACAAAACTTGCCATTTTTATTTATATTGATTGCTTTGGAAAAGGGGGTTTGCAGGGGAGAGAGAATCAATCATGCTAATCATTAGCTGTGTAATCCACTCTAAATCAGTCTCAGTAATTAGTAATCATTTTTCATAAAATTCATATTACATGAAGACATCAATTGGCACACTTAATTTCTATGTATAGATTTCTTGTTCTCATTAAAGAAAGAGCTAAAAGCTGTTCCACACAGATTTTAAATATTGATTTAAAACTATTTGGTTGGAAGTATTCATATTTTTAAAAAAAATGTTAATACAGCAATCAGTAGTGATTGAAGAAGTCTTGACCATTCCTTTTTTTCAATTTTATTGTCATCATTTTTAAAAGATAAATAGACATCAAATAAATAGGATTAACAACTTCTCTCCTAGATGACAAGTGCCATTAGCTGAAGGATGGATAAAGTTTGTCAGGATGGCTACCCTCTCAATTGTTTCTATTTACATGGCAAATTTGCAGAATAACCCAGCTGGGCAAGGTACTCTACGAATGAGGTAAGCAGATTAGTAACATTGAAATTGACATACACTGGGAAAAAATGTAATACTGAGAGAAAAGAAAGAAACTAATATGTAATCCTTTTTTGAAATTAAAAGGTTAATTGATTCAAATAAAGAGGAAAGGAGCCAACCAAAATGATAAACTACACTAATTTAATTATTATAAACTTCACTTGTCTAGAAATGCTGCTGCCTGGAAAATTTAAGACTGAAAATATATCTTTTTAAAAAAGCGTTCTTTTGAAGATGTGTTATAATAAACTGTATGGTAAAGCTCATAACAAGGTAGAAAATAATTTTCTTAAAATTCATTATGCAAAGCAATTATGTGCAGAAAGGTAGTATGGGGTTCATTGAAGCCAAAGGAATCATGTTAAATGTTTTGCTCTAATGTTGTAGATGCTCTTTGCATACAGTAATTATTTTCTACTTTTTAGTGTGATTTAACTTATTTTCCAATGAAAGTGTTTATTTCATTTATTTTTATTTCCTATTTTTTTGGTATAAAAATTTTCATCTGTAGGTTATCCACAGAATTTTAAAAAAATAAATGCCTACAAAATCCTGGCTATAGAAAATCACTTTGTAGAAAACCCCCTCCCCCACATACTGAAGCTATTACTCTGTGGCATCAACTCAGGTCACATGAGGAAGACTCTATCGACCTAATGAGTGTCATGTGACAACAACAAAAATTACTCTTTACAAGAAGTAAATGAGAGAAGAGAGAAAGTATTTAAAAATAATTATAACCTAAGACCACTGGTCAACAAAAGTATGTGTATACTCTCACAGAATAAGCTTGAAATCATATTTTATTATAAATCCTGACAGAGCTGGTTTAAGATGTCTTTTACTCTTTTATTAAAAATGACTGGACACATAATCTGACATTTCAAAATGTTCAAAAGTAAGATCAACTCTTTTTTTTTTAATTATATAAAAAGTTAAAATTATGGACTTAAAAATCTGTATATAATGAAACTGCTTAAAAGGTCCTAGAGCAATACAAGCCATATACAAGTTTTAATTAAAAATGTATGTTTTGTTTTTTGCTGAATTATTTTTACAAATATGGAAAACATTTCATAAGAGAAAAAAATATCTGGATCATATTTTCTCCTGCCACCAAAAAAAAAAAATTAAATAAATTAAGTGTAAGAAATACAGATTTATATTATATACATTATTCATATTGTTTGTGACTTGCTATTTCATGGTTTACTTGAACATTTTCTTAGCTGCCATGTAGTGTTGTTATGTCAAACCGTCAGTCCCAGTGGTTAAAAATTAAGTCTTAACATCTTTCAAAACTTGCTGCATCAATTCTTTAGATCTTTTTAAAAAATCAACGGAACTAGTGAAAATGAAAGACAAGTTTAAACTAAAATTAGTAGAAAAAAATAATCAAGTTGTCTTTACTTGACCTGTATTGCACAAAACAGTATTAAAAATGTAAAATGACAATTTTTATTTCATTTTGAATATGTGATGAACTTATATTTAATTAACATTCTCCTTCTATAGTGAATGCGTTAATTCGACAATGAGTCTCATGCCCTCTAATAAAATGTAAAAATCCCAACATTTAAATCTGTTGTTTAAAATGAATATGATAATATTTGCTGCTTATACTATTGACACAATCCAGTCATCAGCTAAATGTAGTTTTAAAATCAATTTTTCTTCTGCTGAGTGAATGACATAACATTACTTTTATTTTATACTTTTTCAACTTCTAACTGTCTGCGCCGTTTCATGTCAGACGCAGGTAAGAACTCATCACTTTTCCTTTTGGATCCAGAGGACTTTTGACTAAACAGCCTATGATTTTCAGGAAAGAAAGCCTTTTTAGCTGCTTTACGTGCTCGCCGAAGTGTGACTCTGGTTTTCTGAAGAAACCCTTTCCTGCTTTTAATAACCTTGCCTTGAAGACCATCCTCAAGCATACTATGATGTGCCATGGTTAAATCTGCAGCTGAAAGCATGCTGTCATCAGCAGATAGTGTAGTCAGATCCCCAGCAGTTAGTGTTGATACATCCACAGTTAAATCTGCAAAATGACTGACAGTTATATCGGGCAGATTATTAGACAGGGCTAAATCTGCAATCCTGGAAGTTGAAACAGATGTGTTCTTACTGTGAACTGGCTTTGAAATGCTGCGCTCTAGTTTGCCAGTTGATGTTGTAGTGAGTTTACATGGCCCCGATTCTTTACGATGGAACATGTTATCAATACCGAGTTTGGATGCTCGCAAGAAATTTCCCCAACGCTTCGACCCAGATTTTTTAATTGGTCCTGTTTTGTTAAGCTGTTTGAGGTGATCTGCTTGTGAGATAGATGACAAACAAGCATCATCAAATTCATCAACAATAGTGCTTGCATCATGTCTTGACCTTAAAGTCGAGCCAGACCTAACATTGGCCATATCAGCTGCCATTAACGAGGATAACAGGTGAGTGGTGATGTCACTGGTACCAGTACATGCATCGTGTGTGGAGTTAATGGCTTGTTTGCTTCTTTTGGACAAAAGCATGCTCATCTCAGGAGTTAACCCAGTACACGAAATTGTTCTGGTTACCTCCCTAAGATTCTTTGGTGTGGCAACATCGTTCATACTTTTTGAGGTATTGAGAACACGCTTGGGAGGAGAGGCTAGTCTAGGAGGGGACATCTGATGAGGTCTGATGTTAGTTGGTGGGCGGAGTGGATGCTGCAATTTTCTTCCAGATCGTGCCAACTTTCGCTTAACGCTTTTAGAAATATGTCCCCTTTTGTTCTTTGAAGAGGATAGCTTAGCTGGAGCACTACGAGGTGTTGGTGGCTGGTTATCATCTCCTGAGCTAGGAGATTCAATGCTTTCATCTGAAGCAAGGGAAAATGCTTTATTGGTGATGTCAGCAGAGCTCTGTAATGAATTTTCTCCATCACTCTCATTACCTCTATCAATTTCTTTAGCATCCGAACAAGGAGTACAAGGTGGTGGCTGTGGTATTGTTTTTTCTAATGAGTCAGAATCTGCCTCTACTTCAATATCATAATCTTTGAAGTGATCGATACCATCTTTCTTTGTTTTACTCTCAACTCCCATTTCGTGCACAAGTTCCCAAGGTTTTTTCAGTTTTCCATCCTCACTCCCACGAGCAAGTGCTTTATTGTTCAAGAGTTTGGTATAAACAGGACCATCTTTATGGTTTTGACTTTCAGTTGAATACAGGTTGGTCAAACTTTGGCGTTGGACACTAGGATGAGGTGGAATTCTCCGTAAATAGTGATCATTAGTTTTTAAATTACTGGCATTTAAGGACTCAATCTTTGCACTATCAACAGAGTGCCTGAGGTTCCATTTAACAGATGATTTTGGTATATATTGTACACTATCATTAATACTTTCATTGCAGCTATTTTCTATAGCCCCTGACTTTGCACCAACAATAAATGAACGCCTAAGCACATTCGGTTCTCGGTCAACAGGCTGAATAATGGAATCATCCGTCACTCGAATATGACTGTCACTCAAGCTGCAGTTGGCATTTTTATTGCGGGACTTAACCCTCTGTTCATCTGGAAGCCGTGGTACTTTATTCAACTGACAGTTAGTGATTTCTCCACCTGACAACAATTCTTGTCGCTTTCGTTTAAGTAATGTTAGTTTTGACGGTCCAAGCGGGTCAATGAGAACTACTACACAAGATGTGTTGTCAGCTTTCAAGGCTTTAGATCGCCATTTATTCAGTGCTCTTGACACAAGACGTTCGGCAGGGTTACTCCAGAAACTGACTGCAACATTCTAAGGAATAAAAGAAAATATTTTAGAAAATTAAAAACTTTTTTGTCTTTGTTTGTACACTGTATCATTGGTGTTATATTCAGTGTTGATTTTATTGTTAACATAAAACCTATATCTAAACCTTCAACTTCAATACATAAAAATATTAAGACAAGCTACAAATTATTCATATATTTTGTGTACATTAGCACATGATAAAACGTGATTTCATATTCTGGTTATGGGCAAAAATACATAGTTGACCGTTGAAATACTTACTGGATCATTTATAATTTTTTGTTCGAATTGAGCTTCAAGATCCATGACCATGTTGACAGACTCTTCTGGTGTTAGCATATTCCATAAGCCATCTGAGGCCAAAATTAGGCAGCGGTGCTTGTTAGGATCCAATTTAAGGACAGCAATATCCGGATCAGGTGACACAACATATGTTTCAGTGTAATAGTCATAGCTCCACAAGTCACCTGGTATATGATTTTTTAAAATTATAACACTTGTACATATCAAACTATATTTTGTTAACATTCTGTATTTTTTTATACCACTATTTGTAGCTCAGTTGTATATTAGTATCTGTTTTTATAAGAATCACCTCATCTCTAATTACAAATTCAATGCATAAATTTGAGAATTATTATTTGAAATCTAACACTTATTGTATATTGACTATTACATTTACATTTTATATCCTAAAAGAAATTTTCCAGCATTCTCAATAACATACAATAATATTATGCATGCTTTTTAAGTCTTGAGATCCTACCTAGAGACCTGGCAACAGCCAAAAATGGAATCTGATCAATTTGAGTACTTCTACGCACAGGCCCTTTATGGTTTGTTTTTGGTCTGCTCCACACTACACGGGGTACGCCACTTTTATTTATAACTTCCCCACCAGCATCCTCTATGCGTAAACGTTCATCAGGATCATCTGGTTTGTGTTCCTAACGGAATAAACAGTATTTTAAGAATTAACCATTATTAACCATTAAAAATACATTTATATAAGTATAATTTAAAAGAAAATACAATGTAACTTCCTTTAAATTTTTTAATCTTTAAATTATATATTTTTTTTATTTAACAGTCTTTTATTTTAAAACTAACCTTTGTTATACAAATAGCCTGGACAGGATTTCCTCCACCATATTCATCATTTTCCCCAAGAACAAGAGCTGAGTCCCCAACATGCCCAGTGTAGAGTTTCCCCTGTTTAATAATTGCTATAGTAGCTGTTGTGCCAGCAGTGCTAGGTAGTCCTGTCACAGTCTTGGGCCAGGAATCTATTAGAAGGGAATATGAAAGAAAGAAATTTCAAACAAATACAATAATACAATTTTAAAAGAACCTTCATAATCCCCAAAATCAATAAATAGCTTCTGTCATAAAATATGTCTCACAAGTCACAGAGGAACTAAGTAGTTACACTGTGTGAATATGGTTGTTAAATAATAAGAAGAATTTAATCCCTTACAGTTAAAGTAAAGCTTGAAATAAATCTTCCCACAAAAATACTAGAACTGATAGTAGCAGTGTATAGTCTATATAGTCTCAATTTAGTCATGAGTCATATAATTATAATAATTATAGACCTGATTGTTTTAATGAGATTGTTTGATCACACAACTCAATATATATAGTGAATAGTGCCAGCCATGGGGAAATTTGTAAAATTAAAATAATAATTTAGGATCTGCAAAAGGGAGTTTATTTTTTAATGAATGACTACAAAAACTTAAAATGCCATCCCTCCAGACCAAAATAAAAAAAAAACTCTGTCAAGAATGGGCCTAATCTGTCTTAAGTCTAAAGGGTAAAAGTAAACAGATATTATTAAATATTATTAAAATTAAAGCAGGCTAAAGTAAACGGGAAAGATCCGTTTTCAAATGTAACAAAGCCGCGAGATTTTTTACACACACAAGCGGCAAGGTTGTTGTCCCTGGCTGTAGAGCGTAGGGCGTAGTCTATTTATAGCACTGAGGTACAGTTAAACTTGGGTTCGATTACCGCGGTTTTCCTCGCCTAAAAATGTATCAGTATCAGTCATTGTATTTTGATTTTTGTTTAATTCAAAACAGCCACTATTTATTAAATGAATGTAATGAAATAAAGTACAATTACTACACGATAGTTAAGTGAACTATATTGAAACGTAAATTACTCTAGTCTAGATCAACTAAATTCTAAAACATTTGCTTGGTCTAGGTCTAGACTAGCACTACATAACAGCAGTACTTCTTAACTTAAGCCTTAAGTTTAAGCGGTTTCAAAGTTTACCGTGTAATTTTTGTTATAAAATAAGATAATTACGCTTACCTAGTACATTCCACATGGCATGATGAGTATCGAGAAAACCTTTTCTAATAGCAGCCAAAACTTGATCGTCATCGTCAGTCCAAAATCCATCATATTTAGTTATTTCGTTGAGAAGGTTGTCTCTACAAAAAGCTGATGCTTCAGGGCCTCCGTGTCCGTCGAAAATCCCAAAGTATGCAAACTCATAATCATCCGTGTCCTTTTTAAGAAATTTTATTACATGATTGTCTTCCATATACTTTCTAGCACCCTGATCACAATTTCCTGAAACCCTAAGGTTCACACCAATTCGGTGACTAGTCATTTTTGTTACGGCCAAAACAGTTCGTGGGACCAATGGCCGACATGAAGGCTTAGTAAATTCAACGGAATTTCCTTTTCGATTTCATTGGCTAGCTATTTTTTATTCACTCTATGATTGGCCCATTCACTCAGAGACATGCATAGAGGGAAAAGTCGGAAGGGAATGTAAATGGGTGAAACTTATGTACAAAATGAATACCTAAAATAATAGTATTATTATGCGGTGTGTAAAACGTATATAGACTAAATCATTAAAGCCTGCATAAGCATTTTATTTAATTTTTCTACTGTCTCAAATTAGTGGGTGTTAATTTGCAAAAATGAATTATAAAAATTTTGTGTACTAAGTTCTGTTGAAAAGTGTTTAAATAGTTAAGAAAGTTAATTGTGTTACTTTGTTGCCGCGTTAAAGTAATACGTATTGACAAAAGGGACACACGCGGGCACAACTTCTTGTGAATTAAAAAAAAAAGAAAAAGACATTCCCGAATTATTATACAACTTTTCTGGTTTCATGTTGCATTGTTGTTGTCATTGAATAAACGGCGTCTTTCTGCGCTTGCAAGAATTATTAATATACGGTGGCAGTGGCGTAGTTCAAGTTTCACTCAGAACTTTAAAAAAAATAAAAATTTATAAGTAATTTGAGATGTAATAAACTTCGGTTAGTCTTAACTAAGGGTTATTATTTTTTTTTAAAGTCGTTCAATCATATAATGTGAATTCGCAGATAATTTAAAAAATAAAAAAAAGAAAAGATTCATTCGTAGGCTATTAATACATTCTAGAACATTTCACAATAATAGTAAAATTACTATCTATTTACTAGCGAAAACCCGACATGCGTTGCAATGCCACTCAAAGAAGAAAAAAAAGTGTTTGTGTTTTAATTATGTTTTTCAAAGTAATTTTTAAATAGAAAATATATATATATTTTTTACCGTCTGGTGCGTACACAAATAAATTAGAAGGTTTTTCGACGCGCGAGCAGGCCACATACAGCTGTCCACGTGAGAAGCATGGATTTTCAAAATTCGGTTCACACACTTGGGCAGTCATGGGCGCCCGCAGAAAACTTTATAGGGGGGGGGGGGCGATTAACTTTCTGGGAGGGGGGGGGCACAATTTTTTTAGTAATGTTTTAATGTAGTTTTAATTTACTGTAGCATATTTGTATGGTGAACGAACGGACAGGACATCAGCTTAGTTACTTTCTCTTTATTTTCTCTTTACTTTAATAAATTTTTTGTCTATTTTTGTCTAAAAAAATGTTATCCAATCAATCCATGGGGGGCACGTGCCTCCCGTGTTCCCCCTCCCCCTTGCGGGCACCCATGCATGCAGTAGCTCTGTTTGAAATTATATTTATAAGACTTATATAAAAAAAAAATTATAATAAAATAAGGCCCTCGGCCCAAAACTCAAAATTGTAAAATGGTTGTACTAATTCAGAAATCTACATATTATGTCACACAAGTTGGAATCTCGCTTGTATTTGATTCAGTTTCATCCACCCATGCAATAGCTCTGTTTGAAATTATATTGTATAGCTCATATAAGAAAAAACTTATTTAGGACCCTTGGCCCCAAAGGAATATTTCAAAATGGATAACCTAATTCAGAAACTTTTGCGGGCGTGCGCACAAAAATTTACCAAAGTTTTATTGCAATCGGATGAGTGGTATAGGAACGCATACGGGAATTATATTTAGCTCATAAAAGGGGGGGAACAAAGAATTAAGGGGCCCCGGGCCCAAAATATTATGTCTAGAAATTGAAAAAGTAGGGTGGGTAGGGGGTGGAGCTTTTTAGTGCCGTAGATACAATTTAAAAAGGTGACGGTAATGTAACTTTGATCGGGTCGGGGGAAAGTAGAAGTAAGAGAGTACAGAAGGGTGAAAGTTATATCACAACCTGATTATAGTTTTGAGTGGAGGCTGTCAAACTTTAATTTTGGGCAAATAAAAAATATATTTAAAAAAGTAAACCACCTTAACATATTAAAAAAAATCGCTTATAAAGTAATTATTAAAAAAAAATCAATAATAAACGTACAAAATTGTCTATTAAATTAGCTTATGACATTTACCGAATAAATCATAGTTGTTATTTTTCAGGGTGGGGGTATGTAGCTATTGTGTAGAGTGACCCAAAAAAAGGTAGTGCAGTCAGAGTGTAGTGACAAAAACATAACTGTAACTGGAAGACTGAGGTTAAGTGGCAAATTTGGCCGGCTTTTGTGCTCGAGATATCAGGGTTTGGTGACATAAAAGAATCGACATAACCAAGGAGAAAATAATAAGACAAAGAGAGAGTTTGGCAGTTCCACTTCAAAAACCTCGACATAACGGGGTTGGCGAGTTAACCGAGGTTGAGATAACCGGGTTCTACTGTATATAAATATATTTATAAATATATCACAAGGTTAAATCAGAAAATACTTTCTTATTTAACTCCTTTAAAATCTGGCAATTTGAAATCAAAGTTTTAATTTCTAGAGTTATTGTCCTTTGTAGAGGCTGAACAGTAAACAGATATGTGTTTTAGATTTAGACCCTATCGTATTACTCAAACTCAAAGTTACCGTTATCTGTCGGATTATAATTACTGAGTACGTTTTCAGCCAGTTGTTTGTTGTTACTAAATAGTATTATTGCTATTTAGACTAGCTTGAAAATTATACACAATTTAATTAAGTGATCGCCTTGGAGTTTGGAGGCATATATTATGATTATGATATATTAGTCAGGTAGGTGAGCATATTTTAAAATTTATTTTTTTTGTTAAAGTAAAATTGCATTGTTGATGCATGATGCAGCATTCCATATTCATATTGGATTGCATCAAAATCTAATAAAATTCTAATCTAGACTCTAATCTCCATATCGGAATCGGGTATCGTCTAAAATTTCAACAGTTGGGCGGCTGTTGGGCAATGCAAAGTCGGCAAAGAGATAACTAAAAAAATATAAAAACCACTACGGTCACTACGGATGACATACGACACGGTAGTTAAACATTGTAATTGCAGTCTACAGTCTACAATGTTGATATCAGTCCTAGTGGGGGCGGGAAACAGCGGGAGAAGTCCAAGTCCAAACTCAATTGATAATTGTCTATATTCTGTTTAATTAACATGTCTAAATGCTGGCAACTCACCATATTCTATTCTATAAATTTGAGAGGATAAAACTGGGTATCACCATTTGTTTTCTATGACTATCTTATCTATAGGCTATAGACACTATAGTATAGGCCTACTATTTGGCAAGTATAGGATGACATAAATATTAGTATTTAATTTTAATCAGTAATATTAATATGATAGGATAGATAGGGCAGTGGTACTCAGACTCTTTAACTTTAACACTCTCAGAGCCTATTTTAGATTCAATTTCTATGGGGCCATTGGGGGAGCCACTTATATGCATATACTAATCATAATGCATTTGTCTTACAAGATGTATAGGTTCTATAACCCTGTGACCTATGTTTTACAGCTTTAAGTTAATGGTGTTTAGGAGTAGTCTTAAAGGGCCATGGAGCCCCTAGACAAGTGCGGAGCAGAGGCTGGGAGCCACTGGGCCTTGTACAGGACATCATAGGAGCCTAACAAACAGGCCTACTATAATATGAATTATATATGCCCAGGTTCTTGCAGATAAATTTTGTGTCTTGAGCCTTGAGCAAGTCCCAAATTTGGGCCCCCACCAATTTCAAAATAATTGAATGAAACGTAATTGTATCTAAAAAAATTTGTTTCCTGGGGGTGGGGCCCCATGCAGGCAGGGCCTTGAGTGATTTACTGGGTTGCCTCTGCCTTTGCAGAGATAAAATTGAGATCAGCACTTAATTGCTATAGTGTATGTCACCTATATTTCTTTCATGCTTAATATTTCACAAATGAACGCCTTTGCCCCCTTTTTGGACACCTATGTTAATTCTGCTTATTGTGTGGGGTGGGAATGGATGTCATCTGTCATCTAAAACAGTGGTTCCCAAACCTTTAAGTGCGCAGACTGGTGAACAAGTTTCAAAATTTTACCAGGGACCGGTGCATGATTTATTTTTATACTTTTATTTCTATTTGACAATAAATATTTATGTTATGGGGACCGGCAACGTAAGGCATGCGGACCGGTGGAGGTCCACGGATCGTCATTTGGGGACCACTGATCTAAAAAATTCCTGCTTATTGTCAGTATGGTGGTAATGACTAAATTTTAAATTAATGCCTGTAAGTTTAACTAAAATTTATTTAGAAATCAAGAATAATTTACTGTTTAGAGTTTTTTTAATCAGCATTGTTTAAAAACATTTATGTTATTTTTTGGTCCCCATATATTTTAAGACAATGGCCACTGTTATTGTTCAAAATCTCAATCCACCACTGCAAACAAATGTATTCTTTTTTTGTGTTCCCAATATTATTGCTTTCAAGCGAGATTTTTTAACCCCCTTATAAATGGCTTCATAGTTTGACTGGATAACATTATTCATGATGTCCAATTCATGCACAAAGTCTAAAAAAAAAATATTTTGAATTTTGATTTAAACATATTTTAACTTATATTTTATATGTGTATTATAAAGTCTTCTATGCCCTTGAAAGACTTGAAATATTATTTTCATGATTTATTTTAAAGCAGTATATCTCCAAAAAATATATTCTTTATATTTGTACAGATTTGATTTTTAAAGACAACATCATGCTAACTAAAATTATCAAAATTTTAAAGATTCTAATAATTCCATTTATTAATCAATTTAACATTTACAAAATGAAAAAAGCTGTGAAGTTTGTTTTAAAATTATGATGCTGCTTAGTGACACAAATTTGCCATCCCCAGTTGCGAAAACATGTATATGTCTGTGTGTGTATATATATATGATCATTCAGCTCAATTCAAGTGAGCACATAATATTGATATTATTTTTTTCTTTCCTATAATTTGACAAATTTTCTAGCAAAGAAAGGTCAAATCAGATTTGATCTCTTATTTATAACAAATGAACTTATCTACAAACAAATCTTGACTGATGTAGGGGTGGGTCTGTTTTCTTGATCTTAATATGAACTGTCGGGCCGGATGGATATTGGCATTTCAT